GAGAAGCAGACTCCCCGCCGAGCAGGGAGCCCGATGCGGGACTCGATCCCGGGACTCCAGGATCATGACCTGAGCCGAAAGCAGTCGCTTAACCAACTGAGCCCCCATACAGTGTTATATTAGTTTCAGGTGTACAATATAGTAATTCAACAATTCTGTACATGACTCAGTGCTCATTATGATAAGTGTACTCTTAATCTCCTTTACCTATTTCCTCCCCACCCCCCCACGCCCCGGTAGCCATCAGTTTGTTCTCTATAGTTAAGAATGTGTTTCTTGCTTTGTCTCTCTCTTTTTTTTCTTTGCTCATTTGTTTTGTTTCTTAAGTTCCACATATGAGTGAGATCATATGGTGTTTGTCTTTCTCTGATTTATGTCGCTTAGCATTATACTCAGTAGCTCCATCCATGTTGTTGCAAATGGCAGGATTTCATTCTTTTTGATGGCTGAGTAATATTCCATTGCATGTATCTATACACCACATCTTCTTTATCCATTCATCTATTGATGGAGACTTGGGCTGCTTTCATAGTTTAGCTGTTGTAAATAATGCTGCAGTACACATAAGGGTGCATTTATCTCTTTGAATTCGTGTTTTTGTATTTTTTGGGTACTCAGTAGTGTAGATTCCCGGATCATGGGCTGGCTCTATTTTTAAGTTTTTGAGGACCCTCCATACTGTTTTCCAGCAGTGTGGCTGCACCAGTTTGCATTCCCACCGACAGTGCCTAAAGATCCATTTAGTTTATATTTATGAAATCAAAGAAGTTTTACTTAAGCTGAAAAAAGAGAGAGAAAGACTATATGTAAATAGTACATAGAGAATTGGTTTATTTGAAATCATTCTTTTCAGGAGAATATCTAAGTAAAACAGTATTCTTAGCACAAGATAATAGAAAAGGTAACTGAGAGTAAAATTAAATTATCACTTTAGAATGATATGGTGTAAAGTGTGCATTATACTTGATTATTTTCCTTAATATTAATTATTGGTAATTGTGTTTGTGCTAACTAGTGGGCATTGTAAGTCATTTTTCACTAGATTGGATTATATTTTTTTCTGAGTTAACTGATTTTTTCTGAATTTCTCATGTCCTTTTTATATTGCTTCAAAGGAGGAGAACGAGATGGGAACATTTGGTGCAACGGTAACAAATTAAATTAGTTCTTTTATAGCTGATCACAGGATGAAAATGAGTTTTGAGGTTACAGCTGATCAGAAGTTTTAGAAGTGTAAATAATGAAAAGTAGCCAGTGTACTTGCGTTTCTTAGGTGGCCTCTTAAAAACCACAATGTTCCTTTATATTGAGAAATCAGCCTTGGTTTAATTTTAATTCATGTTTCTTTATGTTTAATGCTGTAGATTATATTCTTTGCACTTAACAATTTTATCAGTTATTTCCCAGTTGTGATACTAAGCATGATATCTTAAGCATTGTTTCCTTTATTTTAAAGAAGCAGGAGCTCTGATACTCTTTGTTTTTTGTTCACAGTTTGTGCTTGTTCTTTGTAATTCTATTGGCACACCTTTGGATCCCAAGTATATTGATATTGGTAAGGAAATGTTAATGTCTATTCCTTTTTTAATCAATCTTTATTTGTAACACTAATTTAAAAACCTAACAATGGTATTATTAATTAAAATGGTATTCTCCAAGATAAGGATGACCATTCTTCCTGGTTTGCCAAGTCTAGCACCAGTTTATGCCTATTGTCGTGGTAAAATTATTAATAATGCTCCACTTCACTGTTAGAAGTATCCTGTTTAATACAATAAATTATAGGTTACTGTATCTAAAAGCCACAGTAATCTCATGAATGCTATACTGCCATCATTTGCTTTCAATGGGAAATATAATTGTATAGGAATTGGTATGCAGCATAAGGATTAGCATGTAATAAACTGAGGATTGTAGAAAGGATTTTGCTGTTAAACCACTTTTATTATTAATAAACTGCTTGTAAATACCTCTCTCCCATAAAAACACTTTAGCTGCTTGTAAAAGTGCATTTGCTCTTTCCAGATTTTTCTAATGAAATCAGTCAGTTAATAGGGACAGCTTTCACAAATTCCTTTTTGTTTTCAGAAGACATTTGTTACTTTAGATTTACCATTTCTTCTAGCTAACAGCTATGAAAGTCGCCATTAAAAAATTGCACATCTTACTCTTAAGTTTTTTTGTTAAAAATCATTACCAAATATTTCGTTGCCGTTTCACTGCAACTTCCAAAAGTAACATTTTTTTTTAAGTGTGGTAGTTTATTGAATATGGTATTAGAAAAGTTATTAGATTTCAAAAATTGAAAACCCATTGAATTATTTTCTGAATCTGAGAGCTCGTCATTTTTTTTTTTAGATTTCATGTTCAATCTTAATCAGATGTTAGTGTCTGTCTTCTAAGTATATTTTGCTAAACTCTTTGGGTGATACAAGCAAATGAGAGAAATACTTACTGGCTTCAAGGATTTTATATTCTCTGTTCAGGGTCTTGGTAACTCACTTTTATATAGTGAAACTTTTCAGCTTCATGTCTTACGTTCATTGTTACTTAGGTATATGTTTATATATGTGCACACATGTATATGTTAGTGTTCCTTATTAAAAGTTTTCACTTAAAATTATTACAGATTCTTGTTACATGAATGTCTTCTGTTAGAAACATAATAGTCTTTAAGGTGTGAATTCTGTCAGTCTTTAGATTATAGGCTTTTTCTTTTGATATCAAAAGTTTTAACATAGAATAATGATGATAGGGTTAGCCTCAAAGTAATTTTAATCACAGGTAGTCTTTTTTTTTTTTTTTCATAAAGCCAGATGTCAATCCTTCACCTTCATAAAATGGCCAATACTTGAGGGCATGATTGTTTGTATTTTTGAGTCTCGAAACTTTTTTTTTTTTTTTTGCAGTCTCGCTGGTTGAAATTTTAACAAACAGTTCTTTCATTGGTCTGCAGTAAACCCAGCCAAGGACTCAACATTTTTGTTTCATACATATCCTGTAAAATTCCTTTTTTCAGTTTGTATGCCAAATTTTCATGAGGGCCAGAGGCGAAAATGAAAAAAGTATGTAACTGATGTTTTTCTGGAAAGTGTAATTTTTGTTGTGCTACCTACTCTTCCTCCTGACAAACTCTATAGGAACTTTTTTAAAGAACTTTATACATTATTATAGAAGTTTAGTCCGTGGAACTCTTGTTCTGTACATGAAGGAGTTAGGTGTCCGTTTTTGGTGCTCTTCCTTTGCTTCCTTAAAATACCTTTGGCGCACTTCTATTCACAGTACTGCTTTTTACTCTGCACTGTGATTATCGATGTTCTTGTTAGTCTTCCCCACAAGATTTTGAGCTTCTTAAAGATCTATGTCTTACTCATTTCTGTATCTCCTCTACCTAACTCTATGCCTGCCCCATAACAAATGTTTATTGAACATATGGAAAATACTTATTTTCTATCATGAAAATAGAAAATGATAATTCATTTATTTAGCAAACCTTCAGTGAGTTTCAGGTCCTGCACCGGGTATCTGGAGTTATAAGAAATTGACTTTGAAACTTCCTGTAGGATATTTAAACAAATAATGAAATATAGTTACTCAGTTGAACACTGGCTTACTGCTCCTCATCTGTGTGCTAGGATAAGTGGATGTTGGTGAGTAAGGACAGCAGGGACATCTTTCCTACTTAGAGACAGTTTCATTTGACCTGAATTTTGAAGGATAAGTATTTCTTCAGGTGACTTTTTAAGGAGAGAAAACAGCATTTGCAGAGGATTGGAGGCATGGAAAGTGCCTGAAAGTACCAGGTGCCTGTACTTTGGCCATTTTGGTGAGAGCATGTCGGTGGCTTTCCAATGATGGTCTCTAACACATGCACTGAGTCCTCCATATAATCTAGAAAAAGGCAATTTGATGAAAACATGTCAGTGCAATTTCAGTTTACCAGCTCTTTAAGGGGCTGAGAAATGAATAGGAAAGTAGGGGAACATTACAGATGTAGACATTTATTTCAGGCCTCAGCATTAAAATATTACAAGCAGGTTTTACTTATATGTGAGTTCCTAGATTGTTTTATTTTATATCCTTGCTTGCCTAGTAACTACTCCTCCTTAGTGTTACAAAGTTCAGTTAATGGAAGCATAATTTTTTTTTATTAGTTTCAGAGGTAGAATTTAGTGATTCATCAGTTGCATGTAATACCCAGTGCTCATTATATCAAGTGCCCTCCTTAATGCCCATCACCCAATTATCCCTTCCCCCCACCCACCTCCCCTCCAGCCACCCACAATTTGTTTCCTAGAGTTCAGCGTCTCTTATGTTTTGCCTCTCTCTCAATTTTCATCTTATTTTATTTTTCCTTCCCTTTCCCTATGTTCATTTGTTTTGTTTCTTAAATTCCATATATGAGTGAAATCATATGGTATTTGTTTTTCTCTGACTGACTTATTTTGCTTAGCATAATACCTTCTAGTTCCTTCCATTGTCATTGCAAATGGTAAGATTTCATTCTTTTTGATGGCTGAGTAATGTTCCATTATGTGTGTGTGTGTGTGTGTGTGTGTGTGTGTATATATATACCACGTCTTCTTTATCCATTCATCTGTCGATGGACATCTGGGCTGCCCCTTCAAATCACTATGTTTGCATCCTTTTTTTTTTTTTTTTTTAAGATTTTATTGATTTATTTGACAGAGAGAGACACAGCGAAAGAGGGAACACAAGCAGGGGGAGTGGGAGAGGGAGAAGGAGAAGCAGGCTTCCCGCCGAACAGGGAGCCCGATGCGGGGCTCGATCCCAGGACCCTGGGACCACGACCCGAGCCGAAGGCAGACGCCTAACCGACTGAGCCACCCAGGCGCCCCGTATGTTTGCATCCTTTGCATAAATACCTAGTAATGCAATTGCTGCATCATAGGATAGCTCTATTTTTAACTTTTTGAGGAACCTCCATACTGTTTTCCAGAGTGGCTGCACCAGTTTGCATTCCCACCAAGAGTGTAAGAGGGTTCCCCTTTCTCCACATCCCCGCCAACATCTGTCATTTCCTGACTTGTTCATTTTAGCCATTCTGACCCGTGTGAGGTGGTATCTCATTATGGTTTTGATTTATATTTCCCTGATGCCAAGTGATGTTGAGCATTTTTTCATGTGTCTATTGGCCATTTGTATGTCTTCTTTGGAGAAATGTCTGTTCATGTCTTTTGCCCATTTTTTGAGTGGATTATTTGTTTTTTTGGGTGTTGAGTTTGGTAAGTCTTTATGGATCTTGGATACTAGCCCTTTAACTGATATGTCATTTGTAAATATCTTCTCCCACTCTGTAGGTTGCTTTTAGTTTTGTTGACTGTTTCCTTTGCTGTGCAGAAGCTTTTTATTTTGATGAGGTCCCAATAGTTCATTTTTGCTTTTGTTTCTTTTGCCTTTGGAGACATGTTTAGCAAGAAGTTGCTGTGGCTGATGTCAAAGAGGTGCCTGTGTTCTTCTCTAGGATTCTGATGGATTCCATCCATTTTGAGTTTATTTTTGTGTATGGTGTAAAAGAGTGATCCAGTTTCATTCTTCTGCATGTGGCTGTCCAATTTTCCCAACACCATTTGTTGAAGAGACTGTCATTTTCTTAAAAATTTTTTTCCCAATAATCATTCTAGATATTTGAAATTTTTTTGTAGATAATGAATAGTTGAGAAGGGCGTGGAGTGCTTTTATCCTGGTTGTGTTCTTTTTCTAAAATGTTCTATCTGTTAAAATTTGGATTCTTAACTTTTTCCTGGAGGCTTAGTTCTAGGAAACTAAGAATGAATCCACCTGGATGGGTTGGATCTTTTAATGAATATCTAGCATAATTTTTGTAGGTAGGATTATCTACCTATATGAATTTGCTGAAATTACTACCCTACTGATTCAAAAGAATGTATGTTTCAGATACATTTGTATTTGTTTTTTATATTGACTGGTGGGTTTGTGTGTGATTTTATTATAAAAACCTATGTAGGTAATAAAAGTAAAGAAAATAATAGTAACCACATCTAATACTTATTAACCCTTAATGAGAAGCATGATGCCATAGTGGTTAAGGACACAGCTTCTGGAGCCAGTTTAACTGGGCTTGTGTCCCACCTTCTCCCACTTTCCAGCTGTGTGTTCAGCAAGTTATTTAACTCCTCCATCTTTCTTTGTCTTCATCTGCTACATGGGGATAATAATGCCTACCTCAAGGAGTAGTTGTGTGAGTGAGAATAGATACTATGGAGTATTTTCATTATATATTAATACAATTATATATTATATGTAACTATGTGATTATAATTAGTATATTACAATATGTACCTGGTATATATATACATTTAAAATTCAATAAATATTGGCTTTGAAGTGATTATTAAGCCTTTATTCTATTCCAGGCACTGTACTATGCTTTATGTTTACTATCTCTTTTAATCTTTAAGCAGCTGTATAAGGTTGGTATTATTATCATCTTCAGTTGCAGTGAGTAAACTGAGGTTCAGAGAGAATAAGTGATTTTTCTAAGGCCACAGAGTTAAGCAAGAACCTGTTGCTTTAATCCCAAAGTCTGACTCTTTCCATGAACCACTAACATTTTACTTTTGAATTAATCAGGCTAACGATTAGTTATTGTGATTATTTAGGATGTATCAGAAAGGAACAGGGGTGCCTGGGTGGCTCAGTCAGTTAAATGTCTGCCTTGGGCTCAGGTCATGATCCCAGGGTCCTGGGATTGAGTCCCACTTCAGGCTCCCTGCTCAGCGGGAGCCTGCTTCTCCCTCCTTCCCGCTTGTGCTATCTCTTGCTATCTCTGTCACTATCTCTCTCAAATAAATAAAAAATCTTAAAAAAAAAAAAAAAGGAACATGAATATAATTTAGTTGTAGGTAAACAGTGGATAGAGGAATGCTTTTATATGCTTAAGAAAAATTGTATTATTAGAAAGTAGTTTAAAAGTTTGTGAGCTTCCTTTAAATCACACTAAGGGCATAATAGTTGGCATTAGATAATGTGTCTGTGGTAGAATTTACTAAACATTTAGCAAAGGTCTTAGGATTTAGTGAAGAGCCGGGGTCAGAGAAAGCTGAGCAAAGCCTGGGCCTGGCGTGCTCATTCATCCCACTCCGCACTCCCCAGGGCTTTGCTCCCCTTCTCCAGGACTGCCTTTCAACCGCTTGTTCCCTACAGGAAAGGCTTTTGGCTCCCTCTAGAGTTCAACAATAGTATGTGTTTTGAATAGAACAATCTTGACAATTGTAATGAAAAAGTTTTTTTTTTTAGTATGATTCAAGTAACTGAATTACTTAGCATATAAAAATTCTTGAATTTGAAACCCAAAGTTGGTACTCTACTTAATTAACATTTTACCATTCGTCTGGTTTCTAATTCTTTGTCCACTTTCTAAGTCTCTTCCTGCCTTAAATATCTTCTTGGACTGTGGCAAGAGCTCCCTAAATGGTAGAGCTACTACTGACACCATTCCTTTATTCTGGCCGTACGAGTACTTTGCTTAATATTTAATAAAACATAAGTTTTACACTATTCTCATTATTCATGAGTTTAGAAAACAGGTACTAAAGTGATCTTTTATGAAGGATTTTTTTGTTTGTTTTTACATATTTTGTGTGAATGTGTGTGCTTACTTTTATGGTGTTTAGTTTGTTTTGCGACCATGGGCAAGTTATTTTACTTCTTTATTCCTCCATTTAAAAATTTTTGAGATAGATTTGATAAGACTGTGTCATCAAAGGGTACACAGTAGGAGCTAATTAAATGTTCTTTAAGAAACAGAACAGAAAGGAGCACCTGGGTGGCCCAGTTGGTTAAATATCTGCCTTCAGCTCAGGTCATGATCCCAGGATCCTGGGACCAAGCCCTGGGTAGGGCTCTCTGCTTAGTGGGGAGCCTGCTATGGCCCCTGCTTGTGCTCTCTCTCTTTCTCTCTCTCTGTCAAATAAATAAAATCTTCAAAAAAAGAAAAACATGAAAAAGAGGAAAAAAAGTTACATGTTTAGGAGAATATTTCTGAAATTAGGAAGGAACTTTGGAGAATTTTCTTTCCTAAATTAATGAGGAAATATAAGACGTGAGATTGGAGGGAAGGATAAAGGCCCAAACCAAGCAGTAATAATAGTGGGGACAGGTGGAAGGAGTGGGAGTTGATTTATTCATCAGTTAATGGACATTTGGGCTATTTCTACTTTTTGGCTATTATGAACAATGCTGTTCTGAACATTTGTGTGTGAGCTTTTGTGTGGACATGTGTTTTCATTTCTCTTGGGTATGTACCTAGGAGTGGAGTTGTTGGGGCCTGTGGTAACTCTGTATTTAACATTTGGAGAAACTGCCAAACTATTTTTCAAAGTGGACGCACCACTTTATTTTCTTACCATTTCTGTACATCCTTGGCAATACTCATTATTGTCTAGCCTTTTGATTTTAGCCATTAAAATGGGACGGAAGTAGTATCTCATTGTGGTTTTGATTTGCATTTGCTTGATGGCTAATACTGTTGAACATCTTTTCCTTTGCTTACTGGCTGTTTGTATATCTTCATTGGAGAAATGTCTGTTCAGATCTTTTGCCCATTTTTTAATTGGGCTGTTTATCTTTTTATTATTGAATTCTAAGAGCTCTTTACATATTCTAGAAACAATTCCTTATCACATATATGATTTACAAATACTTTCTTCTGTGGGCTGTCTTTTCACTTTTTTGATGGTGTCCTTTGAAGCACAAATGTTGGGGCACCTGGGTGGCTCAGTTGGTTAAGCATCTGCCTTCCGCCTCAGGTCATGATCTCAGGGTCTTGGGATCGAGCCCCACGTTGGGCTTCCTGCTCTGCGGAGAGCATGCTTCTCCCTTTCCCACTGCTCATGCCCTCTCTCACTATCTTCCTCTCTCTCAAATAAGTAAAATCTTAAAAAAAAAAGTCTTTTGAAGCACAAATGTTTTTAATTTGATGAAGTCCAGTTTATCATCTCCATTTTGTTTTGTTGCTTGTGCTTTTGGTGTCATCTCTAAGAAACTCTTGACTAATCCACGGTCACAAAGATTTATTCCTAAGTTGTTTTTTTTCTTCTAGGATTTCTACAGTTTTAGCTCTTACATTTAGGTCTTTGATCCATTTTGATGTAACATTTTTGTATAGTTCTACGAGCTTTTGATTCTTTTTTGATTTTAGAGACTGTGTGTGAGGTATATTGTCTGAAATGAGGAGTTGAATGCAGTGCTCACTGAATTCCTTTGCAGCACAAACATTCTGCGTTTCTGTGTAACTGTAACCTAATTGTCTTAATGCTCTTTTTAATAGTACCGTTATTCGTTGCAATGACCAAAACGCATGTGATAGCGGCTTCAAAAGAAGCATTTTATACCTGGCAGTATCGTGTGGCAAAGAAGCTCACAGCATTGGAAATTAATCAGATCACGCGGTCTCGAAAAGAAGGGAGAGAAAGGTATATCTTTTGATGTATGGTTTCTAGTAGCTCAACCATATCGCATTTAAATTAGACATAGTTAATTATAAATTGTCATGCTTGAGAACTGTAGATTGTTTTGGTTACTAGAAATAATATTTTTCCATTAATTTCAAAACCTTTCAAATTATTTGTTTAAATTTATCAAAATAGATGAGAGGTAGCGTGGTGTAATTAAAGAAAGCCCTTGGAGATAAAGAGTGGAAATCTGTGTTTTTATAAGGAAATAGCTGTTCTCACATCTATACTTACCATATTAGGATAAAGCATAAATATGATTGTTCAATTGAATGCCTAACCAAAGCTTCATTCTTACGGGTTAGTGGATAGGTGTTTCCAGAAGGGTGGGGGTGATTCTAGTATCAGTCTCCACAGGAGAGATTCTTAGACAGGTTCTTAGATAGGGAGGAGGTCTTCAGGTGGGGCGAACTGGTCACTTGGCTTCTTTCTCTTGCCGTGGATTCGAGGGAATCTGGGATTAAGTGACAAAGGGGGCTCTACCACATAGAGAAGTTAAGAGCTAGGATGGGGGGATTCCCTGTAGTAAGTTTCAAGGTACAGATGCATTTACTGTGTTTTGTTAGTTATATTGTCTCTGTTGGTGATACTCTTTTTGCCCTTTTGTTGTTACCCTAAGCCTTTAAATAAGGCATTTTGTTGAGTGTTCCAAGCTAATAATTCTTAATCAGGGCATAGGTCTGTGTTGGTGGGAGTGGGCAACAGGGGTCATGTCAGAGCATCTTCCCTCACACATGCTTGAGATCTTAATGCAATCTTCCTTTCCCTTTAAGACTCACTCATGTACTAAGATAGGAGAAATGTCCCCAGTAAAAATATTTTAGGTATGTGAATTCATATGGAAACAAACAAACAAAAAAAACCCAACCCAAACCAAACCAAACCAAAACAAACCAGCTGAGGGACACCTGGGTGGCTCAGTTGGTTATGCGTCTGACTCTTGATTACGGCTTAGGCCTGATCTCAGGGTTGTGAGATTGAGCTCTGTGTTGGGCATGGAGCCTATTTAAATTCTCTCACTCCCTCCCTCCCTCTCCGCCACTTCTCCCTCTCTAAAACAAAACAAAACAAAACAAAACAAAACAAAACAAAACAAAAACCTCCAAACGGTTGAAAAATACGGTATCTTGTTTTCTTAGTGGTTCTGAAAGTCTAAATAGGAAGAACCTTCGGCCTCTCTCAGGACAGCATGTGACAGTGGTATAGCAATAATAAGCAAGGGAACCACAGTCTGCAGGGAGGTCTTAGGACAAAGTTGGAACTGAAAAGTCCAGCCTCTACATAGAGTAAGTGTCCTCTGAGAGCCAGCTAAAGATACTCTGGCTTAAGATGGCAGCATCTCCCTCTGTTTCTGTCTGGGACACACTTACTGGTTTTAATGATTGGGCAGGTTCTCTCTGGGCCTCAGTTTCCTCATCTGTAAAATATGGTGGATGATGGTGAGAACAGCCATCACTGATTGAGTACTTCTAATATGCTAGATACTATAGTAAGCCTAGTCAGTACTCTTATTAATCCTGTTTCAGAGAGGGAACTAAGACACAGGAGCTTAATTTATTTGCCAAAGGTCACTAGCTGATAAGTTGAAATGGGACATAGAGCCAGGTTGATCTGGCTCTGAAATGCTTACTCAGATTGGCCTTTCTTGTAGCACCTTCCTTGTTTTAAGAGAGGGAAGATGGTCACATGATCTTGAGAGACCGCCTATTCTGACCTTTGACTTTTATTTTGTGATAACTAAGTAGAATAATAATAGTAGCTGGATATACTTAATAGAAATGTATTAAAATGCAGAAACCTGGTACCTCTAAATTTATTATTTTCTTTTTTTAATATATTTTCTTTCTGCATTTAATACATTGCTGTTTAACACTTGATCTCATTATATTGATGAAAGTACAATTATGATTTCAATTTAACAATGATAAAATTTCATGATATTTTAAAGACAGAAAATGGCTTGATTTTCTTGTGACTGTATTCCATCTATGACTTCTTGATGATCAGGCTCTGTGCATATGTGCTTTACAAACATCATTTTATTTATGCCTCTTAAAAAACCCTGAAAAAGGTTGCCCTTATTCTCCACATGGAGAAATTGGGGCTCAGAGAGGTTAAGTAGCTTGTGAGGGCCTCATAGCTACTCTATGATGTATCCTCCCTATTCACCTTCACTCATTTTAATATTTTTCCAGCAGACATAGAGCACCTGACAGTGTGTGGCACTGTGCTGGGCACTGGAGACATGCTCTTTGCCTCCAGGAAACTCCTCAACTGGTGGGAGAGACAAGTAAAGTAGTAGAGATGCTATGGTGTGAATAGTATTATATTGAAGGTATCAGATGGAGGAAATCCAAAAAGAGTGCATCTTCACAACACAGGGAACATAAGAATGCTTTTTTTTTTTTTAAGATTTTTTTATTTATTCATTTGTCAGAGAGAGCCCAAGCAGGGGGAGAAACAGGCAGAGGGAGAAGCAGGCTCCCCGCTGAGCAAGGAGCCTGATGCGGGACTCGAGCCCAGGACCCTGGGATCATGACCCGAGCTGAAGGCAGATGCTTAACTGACTGAGCCACCCAGGCATCCCAAGAATTATTCTTCATTTCAGAACAAAAATTCCATTAATTAGAGCTTCCCAAATACATTTAAGCTTTACCTTTATTAAGCACATTGATAGAAGGGAAATTATGGAGAAATAAGAGAAACTTAGTGTATTGAAGTTATTTCTGAGTGATGTTCATTTGCAGAATAAGGTAAAATATCTGTTGGGGCTTAGTGAAATTTATTGGAAATATGTGATTCAATGTTCAAATACGTTTTTGGCAAAACTTTCAGGAACATATCACTTGCATAACTAGTAAACACCTGGTAGGTAGTTTCTACCTTTATGGGATCGAGCTGTGTCAAGAACTCTTTAAAATAATCAGGACATTTATGTTACATAGTAGTATTAATTGGCATTATCCAGTCTTTTAATTGTTTTAGAGATTATGAAATGGTATAACCTGTACTTAGACCATCTTTGAAATTCTCACTTATTTTTTCTCCAGAATTTATCATGTTGATGATACTCCTTCTGGATCAGTGGATGGGGTGCTTGATTATAGTAAAGCCATTCAAGTAGGTGATCTTATTATTGCCAGCAAATGTTGGTATCTGTAAATTTCAAAATACTCTAACTTTATTTTGAGATCTGAGAATTTGTTTTTACTGAATAGCATCTTATTCTAGTAATTCTTTAAAAAATGTCTATTCTGAAAACCTTTTTTCTTGGCCTGCTTTTTTTTCTTCTTTTGACTTTTAAAAATATTTTTGAAATAATTACAGGCTCAAGGGAAGTTGCACAGATAGCACATAGAACCTCTTTACCCTGCTTCCCTCAGTGGTGACATCTGTAACTGTAGGATAATATCAAAAACAGGAAATTGATATTGGTAATGACACTGTTAACTGGACTCCCACCGATTCCTTACTCAGTTTTCACTAGTTTTTCCATGTACACCCATGCGCGTAGTTTCATGTCGTCTTACCATCAGGAAGGGACGTGCCTCATGCGAGTTCTCCACTTTTGCACTTGCTCTCCACCCCGTCCCTGCCCCCTGGCAACCACGAATCTGTTTCCATCTCAAGTTTTGTCACTCTGCGCATTTTTTAAAAGGCGAAAGATTTATGCGATCTGAAGAGAAACCAGAGTGTTGCGAATTTTTTAAATGAAGGGAATCCTGTAACGTGTAACCTTTTGAAATTGGCTTTTTCGCACTAAGCTTATAAGCTGTTGAGATCCATCCAGGCTGTTGCAGTACCGAGTGACCTCCCCTTGCTCATTCTGGCAAAGGGCTGTCTGTCCTTCCGCCATCTCTTCTTTTATGACTGAGCTCAGGTTTCTGCCTCCCTGCCTCCTCCTGTATGGGTGAGATGTTCCTTCCTATCACTCTCACAACTCCTGAGCACATCTCTACTTGTATTGTGCTGTCTTCAGGTGTTGGGCCCCCTGTCTTCCTCAGTAGGCTTTTGAGGAATCCCTGAGGGGTAAGGTTTTATCCGCATGCCTCCAGTGCTTAGTTCAGTGTCTAGCACATAGTAGGTGCTCATTAAGTAAATGTTAAGTTAATAAACATATTGGAGTATTCTTCTTGGTGAATTGCATACTACCTTATACCAGATTAGTCATTCAATAAATATTTGTTAAAGAATAACGATTTATTTTAGGGCACCCGGGATCCGATTTGTGCCATAACTGCATCTGATAAGACATTGATTGTGGTAAGTTCGAAGCAAACTGATTTTATGAATAATAATTGTTTAAATTATAAAAATAGAGTCAAGTAATGTGTTTTGGATTTGAATATCATCTTGTGGGCACCTAACTTACTAAGTCCAACATAAGAAATAAGAAAGTTTTAAAGGTTGCCTCACAAATTGTTAAGCATTTGCAAAAACACCTGTTTATAAAATGGGTAGAATAGTGGCCCGCTGGGGAGAGTTTGACACTGGGTTGAAGGAGCCACACAAGGGTTGGCAGGTGCAGGGTGGATTGGATGGTGGTAGCAGGTCTTCGAAAGCTTCCTCCTCTATGTGGCCTGCTATTTTGTGTTGGAGAAGGGTTTTGGCTCAGCTACTTTCGTAAGACTTAAAATGAAGAGGTGGTGTGTTTGCTAACCAGTAAAGTGAAGAAGTCTAGGGCAAAATTTTCAAATAAAATCAATGTTACAGTGTCTTTTCTTGAGCTCTGACATATGAAAATATTAATTTTAGAACTAAATGTTTACTTTAATATAGTAATGCTGGTGGAGTCATTGAATTTGAATTATGTAATCAGAGCCTTAATAGTGTGTATTTACAGTTCTAGTTATGTTCTTTAGCCATTAGAAATTTTATGGGGGACAAAATCTTAAGAATGTCGTATTTGTTTTTCCTCATTAGGATTTTTATAGCAGTTTGTCTTACAGAGCCTCTTGTTTTCTTTTTAGATTCTTTGCTGTATGGCAGGGTTTTTTTTTTGTTGTTGTTGTTGTGTTAGTTGTGTTTCTGATATTTGCAGAAAAAAATAACATGCAACTCATATCAATCACAAAAATTGACATAATTCCTAAATGACAGAGTCTACCTGAAGAAACGTACTCAGTTTAATAACAACCAGAAGTTTTGTGTTTTTATTTTTTTATTTTCTTATTAACATATAATGTACTATTTGTTTCAGAGGTACAGGTCTGTGATTCATCAGTCTTATACAATTCACAGCGCTCACCATAGCACATACCCTCCCCAGTGTCCATCACTCAGCCACCCCATCCCTCCCACCCCACCACTCCAGCAGCACTCAGTTTGTTTCCTGAGATTAAGAGTCTCTTATGGTTTGTCTCCCTCTCTGGTTTCATCTCGTTTCATTTTTCCTTCCCTTCTCCTATGATCCTCTGTCTTGTTTCTCAAATTTCTCATATCAGTGAGATCATATGATAATTGTCTTTCTCTGATTGACTTACTTCACTTAGCACAATACCTTCTAGTTGCATCCACATCATTGTAAATGGCAAGATTTTTTTTTTGATGGCTGCATAATATTCCATTGTGTGTGTGTGTGTGTGTGTGTGTGTGTGTGTGTGTGTATACACCACATCTTTTTTATCCATTCATCTGTTGATGGACATCTAGGCTCTTTCCATAGTTTGGCTATTGTGGATATTGCTGCTATCAACATTGGGGTGCAGGTGCCCCTTCAGATCACTACATTTTTATCTTTGGGGTAAATACCCAGTAGTGCAATTGCTGGGTCATAGGGTAGCTCTATTTTCAACTTTTTGAGGAACCTCCATACTGTTTTCCAGAGTGACTGCACCAGTTTGCATTCCCACCAAGAGTGTAAGAGGGTTCCCCTTTCTTCGCATCCTCGCCAACATCTGTTCTTTCCTGACTTGTTAATTTTGCCATTCTGACTGGTGTGAGGTGGTATCTCATTGAAGTTTTGATTTGGATTTCCCTGATGCCGAGTGATGTTGAGCACTTTTTCATGTGTCTGTTGGCCATTTGGATGTCTTCTTTGCAGAAATGTCTGTCAATGTCTTCTGCCCATTTCTTGATTGGATTATTTGTTCTTTGGGTGTTGAGTTTGATAAGTTCTTTATAGATTTTGGATACTAGCCCTTTATCTACCAGCCAGAAGTTTTAATGGAGAAAGTGCCTTCTGCATTTAAAACTTCTTTTTGCCGTTGAAATGTAAAATGTATTTTTTAATTTTTAACGATTTTATTTATTTATTTGACAGAGAGACCGTGAGAGAGTGAACACAAGCAGGGGGAGTGGGAGAGGGAGAAGCAGGCTTCCTGCTGAGCAGGGAGCCTGATGTGGGGCTCGATCCCAGAACCCTGGGATGACCTCAGCCGAAGGCAGATGCTTAACGACTGAGCCACCCAGGCGCCCCCCCCTTTATTTTTTTAAAGATTTTATTTATTTGACAGAGGAATGTAGAAGGTTTTAGAATGATTACTTTTTCAAACCTTTGAAGCCACAGGACCCCTTTTTTCAAAAACAAAATCTTATTTCATACTCCAATATGGTAAATCTTCTGAAACCCATACTTCCCTAATATACATTAAAAAATATTCTCTCCCTCACCCTTCCAGCCTTTCTGGTAGGCCCCTCTTGAGAGTCATGCTGCAAAAGCAATGCCGCCTCGATTAAAAGGGGAAGGAAAGATTGGCTGAGTGGAGCCTTCTGCTTTGTCCCGTTGCCATGACCAGAGGCACGGAAGGGTTTGGAAACCACAGTTCTGTCCTGATTGTTACACCAACTGTTGATCAGTCAGCATTAAGGCTTGCACAGAGTTGCATAGTAATTTATATTGTTTTATTTTTATTTAAAAAATTTTTTTTAAAAGATTTTATTTATTTATTTATTTATTTATTTATTTGAGATAGAGGGCATGAGCCGGGGGACAGAGGGAGAGGGAGAAACAGGCTCCCCACTGAGCAGGGAACCCCATGTGGGGCTCGATCCTAAGACCCTGAGCTCATGACCTGAGCCGAAGGCAGACACTTAATGACTGAGCCACCCAGGTGCCCCTGTACTGTTTATTTTTAGACCGATTTAAACTAATACTCATTGTATCACTGCTTTCTGATCATCTCCCTTTCCCACTAACTAGTATCAGATAGGTGGCTATAGATGAAAAATATAGACTTTCAGTAACAACTGTTTCATATGGTAATCTTAAATTAATTTTTCATATATATGAAATTTAATTCAGTAAGTGCTTTATATTTTAGCTTTTCATGTACCCTGCATATTAACCTAGACAACAACTGTAAATAACCCTTGTTATTTTTTCCTTGGGTTATATGCATTTATGTAGTATGGAACAGCTAGGTTTCTGACTTCTTTCTTAAATGCTACATGAAAAAATTAGATCACCTTCAGCCACTTTTAAAAGGGTTTTAATTAAATTAGGAGATACATATGTAATCAGTAATGTGATTCAGTATCAGAATTGGCAGTTAGTTATGACACCATCACTTTGGTTTTGGAAACAAATGTGTGAACATATAGACAGACCTGTATTTGTATTTAATTTTATTATGTAGATATGCTTTAATAATCAAAAGTAATTTCCATAGGGTCGTGAATCTGGCACCATTCAGAGATATAGTCTTCCTAATGTTGGTTTAATTCAAAAATATTCCCTTAATTGTCGAGCCTACCAGTTATCCTTGAATTGCAACTCTAGGTAAGTCTGAAAATTCTCATGTAGTCGTTGGGTTTAGAAGTTATCAATTGGGATTGTTGGATTTATGTAATAAATGCAATAAATACATTTATATAAATACAAATGTGTATTTGTTTTAAACTTATAGTTCAGTGTGATTTTACTATACTATATTTATATTTAGATAGTTGTATTTATACTGTGTTTAGATGTTTTTCTCTAAGTGGGCAAAATATAGAAATTCTAATGTAATTCTTTAAATTGTTTGCATGTCAGTTGCTTTAATTCCTTTGGATACTTTTTCCTCACAAGGAAGCAAAATGGAGAGTAGTCCATGTCTTCTCTATCAAATTTGTAAAAATTTGTTTAAAACCAGTTATTTCTTTAAAGCCATTTCTGCCTTCTTCCCAGATTTGGATGAACTGATTTTTGCAGAAGAACAGTAATAGGTAATTATATTTGTGATTGCTGATTATCATTTTACAATTTTGTTTCCCTTCTCCAATGTCATTATTTGTAGTCGTCTGGCTATCATAGACATCTCAGGAGTTCTAACTTTCTTTGACTTGGATGCTCGGGTAACAGACAGCACAGGACAGCAAGTCATTGGCGAGTTGTTAAAATTGGAGCGGAAAGATGTCTGGGATATGAAGTGGGCCAAAGATAATCCAGATTTGTTTGCAATGATGGAGAAGACAAGAATGTATGTTTTCAGAAACTTGGATCCTGAGGTAAACACAAGAAAGGAGCATTAGCAGTACATAAATAATGAGCCAGATAGCGAAACCTGGCTATTTCCCTTATGTTTCCTTAAGAGGTTTGTTGGTTGTTGGTTGCATGAATTTCTGAAAATAAATAGAAACATCTCTGTGGAATTGTAACATATTTGGTCTTAAGTGGGAATAATACCGATTCTTTAAATATTCTCTGCTTTCTCTGAAAGGCACTTCCTAAGCATTTATCTGTTCTTTTTAAAAGATGGAGCCATGATCTCTAATATATAGTCTTTATTTTTTCCTTGTCAAAGTTAAGAAAAAAAGAAAATCAGTAGTAACATTTACCAAAATTGCTTAAAACAACCTAACTAAAGAAATGTGATTTTGAAATTGCTTTGTGCTTTTATTCTCTTTTGCCTCTCTGTCCACCTTAATCTGTGCTTCCTTGGTCTTATTTATATTCATACCAACTCTGTCAGCCACGAATCCTGGTCTTTCTCACTCTGATAATTTTATGAATATGCAAGTGTGGACTGATTAATCTACCCTCTCTGGAGTATCAGGAAGCTCCTTGCTCACTAATTTTAAAGTTGTATTTTGATTTTCTACTTGCAGCTCACATCAGCTAAGTTTTAAGCTTGGAATTTTCCTGTCACTTGGTCTGCTCTGCATCAACTGTTAGCATTTGTGTTTAGGAAATTCAAAATAATTTGAGTGGTAGCCTAATCAAAGCATCATTGAAATAAATCTTTTATACAATTTTTGAATAATTAATGGATTTTTGGTTTGGAATTTTCTGTATGCTTGCTGTACCCAACAAATGTAAATAATAGATAAGTTGATAATTTCTGTATGTCATTAATTGATGTGTGGATTTACAGTTTCCTTTTTGGAAAGAAATTGCATGCTTGGGCCCCTGGGGTGCCAAAGATCTTCTAGAGTAATTTATTTAGTGGTAAACTATTTGTCCCTTTAATATCCTAAATTATTTTCACCTTTCCCCATTTTGGCTCTACTCAGGATCTTTGGGTTGGGAAATGACCTGATATAAATTGCTCTCAAAGACTTTGTTAAAGCTTTTAGGAGTCTTAAGGATCTTAGTAATTTTTAGTCCCTGAGTTAGGTTTAGAGGAAAGGCAATCAGGGCTGTTGCATTTAACTTGTAAGCAGGGGCTTCTATCAAGGGTCCAAGGGAAATTTGATGCTTGCCACAAAACAAGTGTGAAAATTTGACAGGTAACCACAGGATAACTGTGAGGATAGGAGAGGAATACTTTTTGAATGTTGGGGTCCTTTTCCATCGTTGGCCCTGTGGGCACTAAGTCAGAAATCGTATGCCGGGATGAGTGAGAGTGTTGTGCTGCCTGGCTGTTCATAATGTGTGTGTAGCACACACGCTCAGTCTAGCACTGGGGGAAAAGACATCTTGGCCGGGTGCAAAGTGCTTCTTAAGTAGTTTTAACAGAACAGTTTTGTTTTTTTTTTAATTTCTTTTGAGTTTGTTTTGTGGCTTAGCGAGTAGTTCAATTTCTGTTGGATTTAGAGCTAGATGAATTTCTTTCAACCTTACCACTGACTGGATTTCATTATAAACCCTGCTGTTCTTTTCATTCATGAGGACACTGGCTGGCTGTGATCCCTGCTTGGTTAGTTTCTCTCCTGTTCGTTCCTGTAGCTGCTTATTGACTGGTCATGTAAGGACACACACTTCAAAACCGAATTTGCTGGGGCTGCTTTAGGGCATCGTATTCTTTTATTATTCAGGAGATAGGGTATCATTTGACAGTTAATACTGAATACATTTTTATCCACTTGAGTGTTGTTATGAATTCTAGATGCATACCTTTCTTTAAGTTGTAAAGTTTTCTTTAGATTATATGTGAAAAAAGGGTGCCCTTTGTATGTGAAGTTGTAATTCACCGATAAAGCACACTTTCTTTGAGAATTTGGAAATGAGTATTTAATGTTGATATTCCCTGCTTGATCATTTTTATCTCCAGTGACCCTCTCAAGGTACTGATTCCGCTTTTCTAGTCTTTTTCTGGAATCTTCCCTCTCATTGATGCTATTTCATATTCATATTCCTTTCATATCTCATATTTTTGTCACCCACCCTCTCATTTTTATATGCTTCTTTACCAAACAAGGGGTTTCCAAACTTTTGTATCTATACCTTCGTATGTGTATAATTATTTATTAGAAATTATATACATGACCTACCATATTGATGCATTGTGAATCATGTCCCTGAAATAGAAATTTTAAAAGAATGAGAAAAAAATAACAGGAGGTAAACTTTATTTTAAAATGTCATGGTGTTATGGTTCATGCTACCATTAGCTAGTGTCTCAAACATAATGCACACTTTATAGAGTATGGAATTATTAACTTAGTATAGGTCCCATGTTTCAAATAGTCTTCTTGATAATTTCCATTTTTTAACTGACTTTTTGTCAGACCTGATTAGACTGTCATTGTTTTCACTGTGTAATGTGTTTTCACTTTGTAAAAACCTCGGAATCTGTGCGAGGAGTAAGGGAAGTGACTGTTCTGCCTTGTCTTGTTTGCTTGTGCTTGCATTATGGGTATTCCAGTAATTCACAAATTCTTTGCAGGAGGATTTTGAAACTACATGTCCAATTTATGAGGGTTAGCTAAAAATTAGAAACTGTAATCCCTAAATCCACTTAGCTAGGTGTGTACAAACTTCAGTATGTCACAATGTGCTAGAATTGAGGGGGTAAGTACTTCAGAGTACCTATGTTATATTGCACATGTTATGAGACCTTCTGACTTCTGTACTGAATGAGAGTACTTAATATAGAATAGATTAGTGAAGTTTTAAATACTTTCTTGATAAAAATAAACTTCTTGCGTACCGCGTAGTGGAGGGTGTCCTGCTTTTGTCATCCACTGGTCTAAGACTTCATATTCAGTTGAAATGTGGATGGATATCTAGTGAATTTTGGAAAATAAAGAGAATTAGTTGAGATCAAGCAGAAGTTGACTTTTTAAAATCTGAATTACACAAATACTTGCATATTTACTTACGTGCCAATAGGTTATTTTGGAAACTCTTAATTTTTTGGTCTCTCCTCCTCCCTGTATTTTCTTACTTTCTCTTTATTTTTGGTATAACTTTTATCCACGCATCATCTTTTATGACTTTATTTTTTGGCTGCCTTGCTTTGTTTTTTATCTAGCCAAATATAAAACAATTTTCTAATGACAAACAGTTTTATACAGGTATATTTGGACACATGTAGTGTCAAAATAATTCAGGTGTACAAAATGCCTCTATAATTTAAAGAAATACATCCTTATATTCTTTCTTTTTGAATTAAATTTTGTTCTGATTCTCTCTGTGTGTTCATTGCTCATAAAGGCATATTATTTGCCTTTACATAGTACATTTTTTTTAAGAAATAAAGGGATTGTGTAAAAATTTTCTCATATAATCAACAATTTTTACTTTTTATTATTTTTTTAATTTTTTAATTTTTTTTTTAAAGATTTTATTTGTTTATTTGAGAGAGAGAGAATGAGA